GCATTACATTGGATATACAGTATCGCCGGAAACTGGGGCCCATGTTAAAAAACTGGCACCACGCCACCGCTGTAGTTCTGTACTTCCGGCTAATCGTCGGTACCGTCGGTGCCCGTCCTTTTTCTCGTGTGCGCTGCATAAACAGCTTCGTGAGTAATGTTTTAATTTTCAAATCCGTTGATGTACTGGACATCCTGAGTTAATGCCGTGCAATGTAATAGGAAAATATTATTGTGGTTGCTTTAAATTATGATTAAACAACATATATCCGATTTTCTATCGTGATAAGTAAAAACTTTTTTGATTCTCAGGAGGTTAAATTTCTCGAATTAGTAATAGTAGTAGTAGTAATCGTTTATTTTATACTTTCCAGCGTTGAAACATGTGATTTGATTATAATATACATATATCTATTCTATGTACTATATATGATAATTGTCTCTGTATAATATTATACTACTTGATGTTTATAGTTGTCATACGTTAATATCTCAGCTTTCTGCTTTTGTATTCTATCTGTAATTGTGTTGTTCGTAAACTACCAGTTTAGTTTGTATTCTTTGAAATTTGTTTAATTTCAACCTTGCATTAATAATCACAAAGTTCCTCATTATATTCTAGTAACACAATGGGCAAGAGAAATAATATGATCCCTAATGGGCACTTCCACAAAGATTGGCAAAGATTTGTCAAAACCTGGTTCAATCAGCCAGCCAGAAAGTACCGGCGCAAGCAATGTCGTGTGAAGAAAGCTCGTTCAGTAGCTCCAAGGTAATTAATATAAATTTATTTGATTTCTGTTTTATTTTCATTTTTCAATACTTGATTTAAATTTAAAGACCTGTCAAGCTGTTGAGACCTATTGTCCACTGCCCAACATTTCGGTATCACACGAAAGTTAGAGCTGGTAAAGGTTTTACACTGGAGGAACTTAAAGCCAGTGGGTTAAACAAGAGATTTGCCAGAACAATTGGCATTGCTGTAGACCCAAGGAGGAGAAACAAATCTGTCGAGTGTTTGCAGACGAATGCTCAAAGATTAAAGGAATACAAGTCTAAGTTGATTCTATTCCCATTGAATGAGAAGAAAGTAAGAATAATTTGAAATACTCTAAAGATCTTACAGGGAATAATTTCTGTACTGACGCTATCTATGTTAACAGCCTAAGAAGGGTGATGCTACGGAGGAGGAGATGAAACTGGCAACTCAACTTAAAGGAGAGATCATGCCGGTCAGACATCAAGCACCGGCTAAAGCTAAGGCACGTGTTATTGCCGAGGATGAAAGGAAATTCTCAGCATACATAACGCTCCGCAAAGCTAGGGCCGATGCCCGATTAGTAGGAATTCGAGCTAAACGGGTGAAGGATGCTGCAGAGAACCCTGATGATGTTACCAAGGTTGCTAAGGATAAGAAGCCCAAGAAATAATCTGGAAGATCGTGACTTTGTACAAAAATAAACGAAATAAATTCTCCTAGGAGGAATCAATACTTTGCAAACTTGACTGCAACGATCCCCACTACTTTCTGTACCTTAGTTTCACCACTGTACCTACACTGTACATACACCATTTATAAAAAATAATGGAATAGATTTATTACATTATTTATAACGTAAGAAATATACTTTAAATTTATAAAAAGGTTGGTTTTCAGCGAACTTTGTTTTACGTTTCTGCCACCAGATGACGAGAAATACAGTCTCCTGTTTGTACCTCATTTCACGTCGTAACAGAATCGAGAAGATTGTTTACATGTACCTACGTAAACACACGTACGTCAAATTCAAACAACTTTAATTACTCAATTTTGAATGTGAGAGAGTAAGAGATTCATCGTGTTAAGTAGATATCAAAGAGAATTTTGTGTATCGTAAAAAATGCAAAGAGAAGTGAATGACATTGTCGAAAAATCATTACAAAAAGCTTACGACCATGACAGAACTGGGAACGTAGGAAAAGCATACGCATATTACACGGTTGTAGCAGAATTATGTCCTAGGAAAAGGGCAGAAATTGAAGAACCCTTCGTCGATATTCTTTGTAGGTTCATCATTATTTAATGCTTACATTAATCATTTAAAATGGAAAGATTTATGAACGTCGGCTGTTTAGGTCAATGGGGAATCCAACTGGCATGTGAAAATAGATTTGCAGACGTTGTTCTGTGTTACAAACATTCGTTAGATTTATTTCCGAATAATCCCCGTATGCTAAACAATTTTGCAGCTCATCTTCTAAGGTAATCTAAGCTTGTTCGTCAGATGAAATTGTTATAAGTCATTTTAAAATTGATGTTTTAATATGACAGATATCATGACCGTTAAAGTACCTTGTAATGAGGATAAAAAATATGTTGTTAAAGGAATAATGATCCGATTGAAGCAATCAGATATTTAAAGAGAGCCTTGCAAGCTGATCCTAATTTTCTACCGGCAGAAAGAAATTTGCAAAATGCTTTTAGCATGGCCGTAGACAGATGGCATTTTCCAATGCTGAACGACAAATGTAGGAATAACGCGTTCGCAAGTGCAATTCGTAAGAGGATTTCACAAGGATACGATACTGTATTAGATGTAGGAACCGGTACAGGATTATTAAGCCTGTACGCAAAAAATGCAGGCGCCAAGAAGATATATGCATGCGAATGTTCACAAGTAATGTTAAGAATCGCTAAGAAGGTATTCGAGACTAATGATGCCACAGACATTGTGTTACTACCAAAGTTCTCTTCAGACCTTATAATTCCTACGGACATTCCTCGGAGGTCAGTCCTCTAATAAAATTGATTTCTGGATTTTATTTTCGGCATGAATCAATTCTATTTTTGTACGATTTTCTTTTTAGAGTAAAATTGGTGGTTACAGAAACGTTTGATGCCGGTCTATTTGGAGAACAAGTGATACCATCGATAATAAGCGTACATTCAAATATTTTGGATAAGAATGGCATGGTGATACCTATGGGCGCTACGCTATACGTAGCTGCCGTCGAATGTGAATATATAAGACAAAAATCAGCTGTAATGCTCGACAAATTAAAACGCAGTTGCCCTCTCAATTTTAATAATGTATCGGTATTACTAGACGAAGAATATTACGATACGGAGAATTTAAAGAACGTGGAAGTTAGTTATATACTAGAGCCTACAGCCCTTTTCACTATCAATTTCAATGAGCTAACGAATTTGCTACAATTTAATACAGATGGAATAAAAAATATAATAAAGACAAAATGTAAGCGCGGTGGAATTATTGACGGTTTAATAACTTGGTTTAAACTGCATCTCGACGAAGAGATTACGATAGACACTTCCGACAAAAAATCGTGTTGGCAAGTCGCTGTTTTCCCAACAGTACCAAAATTATGGAACGAAGGCGATTCGATAATGATCAAGGGAGAACTGTTGAAAGGAAAACTGAAATGTTCATATACGTCGCATGTTGCTCAATGCAATGATTATGATAATGATCATACATTTCTATATCGTTTGCCGAAAGAAGTTGTAACGTTTTTGAACGATTTTGAATACATCAAATTGGTAACGGAAGTTAGTAAATCCTTAATAAGTAAAGAAATACATAGTATTTTGGATACATCTCCGTTTCCTATTTATGGACTGATGTTACTGAAAGAGAATAAGCATAGCAATATTTTTTATTATAAGACGGAAAATGTTATGCTCCAACGGTTCATAAAACAAATAGCAAAACAGAATAATTGCGAAGATAAATTACGTATTATATCTAAATACAGTCATATCAAACATTGTTTAGACACTATTTTTATCCACGACTTTGATATTAAAGGGGAGTTAAAAGATTGCAATGAAGAATATAATCACGAACTTTTTCGGTAAGAACGCATGCATTATACGATTAAAGATATTCTAATTATATAAATTGTACAAATTATGTTTCTGTGTAGATGTTTACTCAAGCCAAATGGTATCCTACTGCCAGAACAAATATTTTTTGTAGGCCAACTTGTATTCTCACAAGACTTACCAAACATGGTTTACGTAGAAGATGAAAATTTACGAGATGAATCGACGTTCATTTCCGATGAATCAAGTTTTGAAAAGGTAGATTTACACGTTCAGTTTACATAAATAAAGTATAATTTAAAAATAGATTGTTCAATATTATTATATTTATTTCCAGAATCCTCGCAATATTTTCAATAGTACAACTTCTTATGGCATTGCACAACACATAAACGAATTCAAGGTAAGATGATGCACCGAGAACAATCTAAGTTTGTTATATTATTTATGCTGTTCCAGATAAATCAGGTTTTCGATTTGAATTCAAGTTTATATTTTTATGAGCCTCTATCCGATGTGAACGTGTTAATAGAAATGAGGGAAAATGAAGTCGCCGAACGTGTAATAAATTTTGGTAAAATAAGTGCGACTAATAATAAATTGTTACCGAATGCTCTGGCCTGTTGGTACAAAGTTAGATTGACGTCAAATTATAATTACGATACGAAAAGAAACGGATCGTTTATGAATCATACAGCTATACTATTAGAAGATGAATTAAAAAATTGCATTCTCCAAGGTAACGAAGTGTGTATAAAAGTTCAACAAGCTGACGGTGTAATTCGAGTAAAAGTTAAATGACTACTTTATTTTATTTTTTTAATACATCCAAACCAGCCCAAGATTTACCGTGAATATTAAAATACACGTATGTACATGTGATTTAACCTTTGTATACAAAAGTTGTACAAATATTACACTAACGGAGGTAAGACCAATACTAACTGTATTTCCATGTATTCCTACATATTATTGTACATTAAAATTGTTATTTTTTCAACAGTATCACAATTTACTACGTAAATTATCATCTAAAAACTTGCATACGTAGGGTGCCACTGTTTCAGGGCTATTATTATGTACATCGTGATTTCCTTTTACGATAACTAGAGTCAACAAATCTTTATCAATAACTTCGATTATTTTTGACGAAATTCTATGAGAATGTTCGATTGTGATTATTAAGGTTTTGGTACAATATTTACTGTAAATTTCTCTATGTTGTTCTTCTAAGATAAATGGTTTCATGAAATACCTTAGCCTGGTATCACGATTATATTTATACAAATTATCAATCTTTGTCACTGCACGCTGAAACAAAGCTTCCGCAGCTTCCATTGTCAATACTTCCATTCTTAGAAATTGCATTGCAAACAGTGCTTCATCTTTGGAATAAAGTCTTGTGGACTCTTTACTATATGATTCCAAGTCATACATCTTTTTAATGTCTGAAACTGGGTCATCCATGAAAAAAGGATTAAACCCATCGAACGTTACTATTTTCTCAAGCCTATTAGGATATACAATGCTAAAGTATGTTCCTATGTGAGCTCCGAAACTGTGAGCAATGTATACACAGGTTTTCCATTTCAATGCTTCCAAAACAAGAAATATGGAATACATATAATCAAAGAAATGTAATGGTTTTCCTGGCGGGAAGTGGGACGATAATCCATGCCCTGGTAGATCTATGCTCACATATTGATACCCTCGAGGAAGATATCCTATTAATCTGTTAAACGTCCCGGCATTATCTAAAATACCATGCACGAGTAAAGCTTTTTTCTCCATGGGAGGTCCGTAGATTTTCGCTGCTATATAACCCCATGGCACAGGTAATTTCACTTCTTCTGCTTTCATCTTTACGATTTTTTATTTAAAATATAGCAGATTGTAACTTCGCTATTTAGTTAGTCTGGAAAAATAAAAATTCTTAAATAAAATATTAATCGATATGGTGACGACTTGAAACGAGAATTATAAAATACCTGCAGAAAAGTAAATTGCAGCTGCTTTGAGATGAAACTGCATTTGTTTGTCAATTCCCAGGTGCAAAGTAGAAATCTTTGCGTCACACTTTCATTTAAGTGATAGTTTTATTACTTAATTAAAATAATTATGATCTCGTACATTCACTGGGACATGCATTGTAGTATACTATCATTATTACCGTGAAATTGTTTATAAAACATAATCCATAGGTCGAAGATTAATTATGATAAAATGTCAAGTCATTCAAAATTATTTCTGTTTATGCTACAGTGCATGTTTGATTCATGCATGGTGTAAAAACATGTTTTATGTTTTTACATCATGGATTCATGGACCATGGTTTGATTATATGGGCCTGATGAGGAAAGGAAAACGGCGACTACCATGGTGTACAAATACTATGATGCGAATTTCTATCGCACACGTGGTCGCTGTCGCGTATCAACCGTTGCATTATTTACGCAGATTTAGATCGATAACAATATGATTTAACAGATTCTCTTAGTACCTAATCTGTGCAATCTGGTGTTGTTAAATAAAGCGAGATCCACCGAGAAGCGAATATCCTCAGTGGGAGAACTGAAGTTTCGTATATACCGCCGATTTTGTGTAATAATAATGAATCGTATCAGATGGCGTAACATTTTACAGACTAGTTGAATATACAAGAGTTTCCTGACTCCACTTTGTCATGGACATGCAAGCTTCTAATGGTTCGTTTCGTAAATCGTACTTGTTTTCCTACGCTATGTGAAATGTTCGCGCGTTAAATTACACCGGAATTTATGCTTCTGGGACTGAAGACTTTACACAGGATATGGTGTATCTTGATAGAGATACTTCGTCCTCTAAAATATGTTTCCCAATGGAAAAGGTTTAATAAATGTTGACTTTAAAAGCTTTGGCGTCACTTTGAGAAATAATAAATCATACTTAGTTGCTCTCTCTCACGTTTCATATGATACAGAATTGAATTGAAAGGCAGTATGATCGATTTGAACCAGTGTTTCCATGTTATACACTGTGCTGTGCATTGTGCTTTGTTTAGAAAATGTAGCTGCTCGAACAAGCCCCTTGCCCGAACAGTGCACCCCTCGATTACGTGCTTGTTTCATTTAATTAACGTATTCCTATAAATTAGTCCGTTCCGATATGATTGATACTTCCATTAAAATGTTTCGTTATTCGACGCTAAAAGATCTTGATGTACAGATTTCGTTCGAAAATAATATTCCGATCGTTATGTGAATATAGGAATGGATATTTGTATGAATTCAGTGTATGCTTCCATCCCTGGATTACCGGAACTAGGGATGGTATGGATGGGTGATATGATGGTACATGGAGAACCTACACATGAACTTATGCTGGACCCGCGTCAGGCAGAGAGCCCATTTTTCTCTCAAGGCTCAAATCCGTACGATGACATTAGAAACCATCAAATTGCCCCTACGACCATGGTGCGATACCTGGCACCTCAGTTTACCAACGAATGTTCGGAACCTGATGAAGCTATGGAAGCTGCTGATGCCCAAACAATACAACAGGCAAGTTTGATCCTTTTAAGTCATACACTGTGAGAATGTATAGATCCATTACGGTCAATGTTATTGTTAATTTCAGGAATACGACTCACAATCTGAAAGGCAGGAGATTGGTGATTACTTGACCTTAGATGACTACATGGGCGATGATGAAAGGGAACAAATTGTAAACAACGCAGCGACCCAAACCAGTCAAGACAATCGTAATAGAAAAATAAAACCTATAAAACATCCCGGACTTGTTTTGAAAACGCCAATCGCATATCAGCCACACACAGATTTAAATTTTATACCAATTCGCAGAGATGGTATAGGTAAGACAAAATTTTTAATGAAGATTCAACTACGAAGTTTCTCGCAATGTAGACTTCTATTTCTTATTGTTTGTTATAGCTGTTTGCGCAAAATGTGGTGCAATCGGTGTGAAACACGCATTTTACACGAAGGAACGACGATTCTGTAGTAGAGCATGTGCAAGATCTTCAGAATATACAGCTTCGACTGCTGATTCTACGTACAGTCCGTCAGAGTTTCTGAAGATACCATTAAATTCCCTTTCTCCCGAGCCTGAATTAAAGAAAAATGTAAGTTACCCAAGTGTTCCGCGAAGGTAGTATAATACCCCTCGAATATTCTAGGACTTTGTGAAAGACGAAATAGACACAAAGGATCCTTCTAAACCTGAGAAGGAAAAAGTTATATCTGGACCAGTGATACCAGAGGACTTACCAGTAAGGAGGAAAAGAACTGCCGAAATGGCTGGTTCTTACGATTGGACTACACAGCTGACCGAACCTGGATTCTGTGCTGCTCCAGTCTCTTGTTTCAAACATGTTAGTTACATCATAATTATTCTTAATTCTAGTGCAATGAACTTAAATTGGCTTGCTTTAGGCACCTATATCAGAAATATGGGATAACATAACAGTCGGTATGAAAGTGGAAGTGGAAAATACAGATTGCGACGAAGTCTGCGAAGCTTTTCCAGATTCTTTTTGGGTCGCCACAGTTTTACGTGTATCTGGGTACAGAGCATTGTTAAGGTATGAAGGATTCGGGCTTAATGCCGAAAAAGATTTTTGGGTATCTTTGTGCTCGAATGACATACACCCAGTCGGTTGGTGTGCAACTATCGGAAAACCACTCATTCCGCCTAACAGTAAGTGAGATATTTTTATTTTCGTCTGCTTTTCATGTGCAGAGAATGGAATATTTAATTATTTATTACAGCGATTGCAAACAAATACAAAGATTGGAAGGATTTCCTAATGAGACGATTAACAGGAGCGAGAACGCTACCGACTAATTTTTATAATAAAGTCAACGATAGTATGAAGTCGCGGTTTCGATGCGGGCTTCATTTGGAAGTAGTGGATAAAAATAGAATCTCGCAAGTGAAAGTAGCGACGATACAAAAGATCGTTGGTAAACGTTTACACGTAAGGTACTACGATTCGCCGCCCGAGGACAATGGTTTCTGGTGTCACGAGGATTCACCTCTAATACATCCTGTCGGTTGGGCGACACGGGTAGGACATACTTTGGACGCGTATTCCGAGTACTGGGAGCGTGTGTCGAAATCAAAATTGTGCGCGGACGACGCGACCGAGGATCTTTTCCACGTGCCAAAGAACTATCACGCACACATGGGGTACACGTTCCGGGAAGGAATGAAAATAGAAGCGATCGATCCTCTCAATTTATCCGCCATATGCGCGGCAACGATCATGCGGGTCTTAAAAGAGGATTACATAATGATCCGTATAGATAGTTACGACGAAGACGCGAGCGGCGCCGACTGGTTTTGCTATCATTCATGTTCACCCTGTATTTTTCCAATTGGATTTTGTTCTCAACACGGATTGCCTCTTACCCCGCCAAAGGGATACGATCCTACTACGTTCGCGTGGGATTCGTATTTAACAGAGACAAACACAATCCCTGCTCCTGTGCAATTGTTCAACAGGGTAACTGCAGAAAGAATTTTGATAACGAAGCAAATGAACGATGTTTCGACCTTTTACTACTGTAGAAAAAATTGCAGGACATACCTCAGCATGGATTTATCGAGGGCATGCGGCTTGAAGCCGCTGATTTAATGGATCCTAGATTAGTCTGCGTTGCTACTATTACGAGGGTGATTGGGAGATTATTAAGAGTCCACTTTGATGGTTGGGAAGACGAATATGATCAATGGCTAGACTGTCAGAGTCCCGATATCTACCCAGTTGGATGGTGTGATCTCGTTGATCATAAACTAGAAGGGCCCCGTGTATTCATTAAATATCTTAATCCTACTGGTACAGATTTCTCTTTAATTTATTCGTGACCATACATCATGTCGTAATGAATCACAAATTGAAACGTACGACTTTTCATTCGAAAATCATCTCTGTATATTTATTGTTTCTCAGTAAAATCACCAAGAGGCCTTAGACGTAAATCTAAAAGAAAATTAAAGAAAAGCAGCAAAACATCTTGCGCGAGAAGCTTTCTATCTCGGCACAGGGAACGTGTAAACACGTCTCGTGAACGTGAGCGAGAGGTAGAACCTGCTCAAGGAGTTAAAATTGAAAGGGAACGGGACTTGGAAAGTTTGCCTGAACAAAGAAACAGGGAGCCAGAGCCGGCAGAAGAGCCAGCTGGACCTGATCAAACATTGCCCAGTCCTACCACCGGGCAAGGTCAAGCGAACGATACTCAAGATACTCAAAGTGAGATACAAAACCCTCCGCCACCAAAAGAACGAACCGCAACTTCACACATCAACGTGAGTGTTCGCTTAAAATCCTTTTAATTTCATTTAAATATTTGAAAAATTGTTTACATTTTTCGAATAGATATTGGAATTAAACAGAATATTTGACTTTCAGAATTTATAATTTAGCGTGAAGTAAATGTTTAAAAAAAGTATGTTTTACAGGTAATGCCTGCTTCTGACAAATACATCCCAAGGTTAGCAGATGGTGTTCAAAAGAGTTCCGAATCGGGTGATTTAGTGCCATCTGAATGGAATGTGTTTGATGTCGCACAATTTCTTCGTGTTAACGATTGTGCAACGTATTGCGATAACTTTAGTAAAAATAAGATAGATGGAAAAACTTTGCTGACACTCACTAAGGACCAAATAATAGACTTGACAGGTTTCAAAGTTGGCCCATCATTAAAAATCTTTGATCTTATCCAACAATTAAAAATCAAAGTGAATCCAGCTCAGGAAAGGTTGAAGCTAGGTTTGAAAAAGTTATTATAACAAAGATAGTACATAGTTATTATCATGAATAAGTTCCATCATTACATAAACTATCGGCATGGATTTACAAGTAAGGCATCCACGTGCAAATTATTAAAACTCTTATTTCATTTTAGTTATATACAGTTTCTTCTGCCTGATTAATATGTGTACGGGATATATGTTACAACAATATTACAATTGTTTAACTATTTACAATAGTTTTTCTGGAAATATCTCTAACAAGATATATTCAAGAAATATGTAAGCAGAGATGCTATTTGTAGGTGAACTGATAGAAGAAGTCCAATTTCCGGAAAACGACAGAATCATGTATATTTTAATTAATTCGTTTCTTATGAGACTATTTATGTGGGAATGCCTTTTATAGGGAATGGGAAATGTATTCATAAATATGATTCTGTTAACAAAGAAGAAAAACAAAGTTGAACTTTATATATCTTCTATTAGTACACTTACAAAAAAAGAAGATAATCACAGCTTTCCTACTTGTAAAATGTCTCATTTAAAGTATTTTGTACTACATTGAAGATTGTTATAGTATATATCCTGCATAGACATAAAAATTAGAATATTAAGATCATTCTCTATCGTCATACATTTATGATGAAAGCATTTATTTTAAAGAGAACTGGCACTACTTATTGATAACTCTAGAGGAGTTACGAAATATCTATTGTTAACGATTATTAAAGTTAACATTCTACGAAATATTAATTAACTTCATTTAACGTTTCTTATCTTTTCCTCTGTCCGATAACAAAACCGTATCGATATTAAAGTTACTGTCGTAAATAGCGTGGAACTTTTATATACGCGTGTTGCATTTATATGTTTTTGTGGGTATTAAGAGTTATTCTCTTATTCAGATATCTTCTATTCTTAACGCTGTTATTTGTAAATCCATGATTTCATGTTGCACTAAATTGATTGCAGATGCATGAACCACATTTAAAAATGCTATTATATATTTAAGAATTTCTTTAAGGAACGTGAAGTTTGAAAACTGTAATTTAAAGAATAAAAATCGGAGGGGGTAAATCAACAAAAAGTATTAAAATAGAAAGTAAAAATATGCTGAATGTGTCATAAAGTACAAATTAATTCCCGGGTATTGATTCTCTACAATTGATTCTAAATATGTATCGCCTTAACGATCGCATCTGCATGGTTAAAATAGTTCGATTTATTTTAATAGATTTGTTGATTTACTCTCTATTGTAACCAAACGCTACACAATTTCTGTACATAACTAAGAAAAACGAAACGGTCAACTTCTAATTTTGTAAATATAGCATTTAGCACAGCATTAGGTTTGACTAATCTTTGCAAAAAAAAAACCGAATGAGGATGATGTAATCGCAGTGTGAAAGAAGTATAACCGTTAAGAAAGTGGTTGATGCATTTGTATAACAAATACTGTATCTATATGTAGCGTTATAATCATTACAGTAAATCAAACCAGTCGAACGAAGTCTAAGATTAATCTGTCTTAGGCTTTTTAAATACTATTTTTAGTACGATAGTAACGTTGTTACTATCTTTATTTATTCAATATTTTCGAATCTCATCAGGTACTAAGTTGATTTAGTACGTGAACTTTTTTTATAGAGATAATTCTTACTATATTAAGAGCAAAGTATTGGATTGGCCATTTAGACTTTTAAATATTCTTATCACACCAGAGTTTAGTTGCGACTTATATTATTAAAATGGTTTTTCTGTTTACGTACCATTCGCTCTTTATATTCTGATACGGTAAAGGTTTATTAATTCGGAGAATATATCTGATCTCTGCCGATGAATGAAATGAGGATGACGAATTTTGAAACCGGCATTACGTACAAATTGGGAGGCATTATAAATAGTATTACAATTATAAACTTAAATTAAAAACTATAAGTTTAATCAAATCGTTGACAATTTTTTTTATTGCGAGTAGATAATCGTAAACGTGCAAATTCATTTTTACGCGGATCATCAAATATCCGAGTAACGTTATCTGTTGATCCGAGTGAAATTGTAAAAGAATTTGATACGCGTGATTCTCTTCTAGGAAAAGTTATAATCGGTTAAATGATGCTGACCAAGTAACTCTTTTATAAAGTAGTAGTATAAAATTGCTTGGTGGTACCGTATTTGCACATGTGTCGTTTCTCATTCATCGCAGCAAACGAATCTTAAGATGACAAAATATATATATTTTTATTTTGCAAATCGAATGTTTACGCTTAAAGAATAATAATCTTTTCAATTAATTAATGATTACGTTAAGGAATCATCGGCAATAAACATAAACGTTATTTTCATTCATTCGATTGCATTCAAGACATATTCATAGTTTATACTTTATAAATCGTACTTTTATGTAAATTTCATCATTTTCTCGTGTAATATATTATTATTACTGCAAACGATCATTATACTTAACAACTATGAATACTGCCTCGAAATATTATTTTTTGTCTCTGCCGCTGTCTGACTATAAATGAAAGCCTCATTCTGCAATTAATCAACAGTATTTATCGATATATAGTTAGGTTTGAAAGTGAGAGAATCCTATATTTCTACTTTTTTTTATTTGTAAATTCGTCGCAATACACATGAATATATTTCTTTTATTTTTAGAATTAAAGAGATGATTAAGAATAAATGTTTTTCATACATACATTGTAAAAAAAACTGCAAATAATGATGGATGGAAGTACACTGTTTACATTAAATCATCCGAGTGTCTGTATATTTTACGTTGGCGTTCCGTCTTTTTTGTTTTTAGCATGTACTATAATATACCGCCAGATGGCAGTCGGCTGCACAAGTTGAAAATTTATTGATTTAAACAAGGAAAAGCTTGTCTTGCAGTTCCTACGAAAAAGGAAAAATTGCTTTCGGACTTCATTTGAAAATTCAACTGAATTATATGATGACGAAGTAGATACAATGTCCAGGCAATTATGTAATTAAAAAAGGGGAACTAGTTACGTATCAATGAAGAAGGTATACGAAGGTAAACAGTAGTGCGATTACTCGTGTTACGGTATCAAATAATCTTTATTTTTCACGATTACATTTTTATTTTTCCATCTGTTAGCGAACTGCACGATTTCCAAACGAAGACATTGTATTAAGATCGTTTGGAATCGTATGTGCCAGTATAAATGAACTCTAAATGCCGTAGTTTAATGTACGCAATACGAAGGAAAGTACAAATCTACGTAGGCACGTGTAAACGTAAAGTAAGGTGTCTAATCAAGGATATAAGAAGTTATTGGGAGCATCAAACGTTTTTATTTATCGCGCAGCCCTTTCATCGAGTTCGTCTCGCGACGTATCTACGCAGAGGAGTATACGCATGACAGACCACTTGGGGATGCGTCGTACGCGCGGGGAAGCGATGAATTTTTATTGTCAACTTTCGTATCGTGTAACGTTGCGAGGAGAGCTGGGGGCTGAAGAACCAGGATAGAAGACTGCCGCCGTGTACGTGTGCGCGCGCGCGGTCACGGATGTACGGATGGTGTCGGTACGTCGGTGTAGGACTACGCGCAAGTGGGGGAAGTGGGGGAGACTGGCGTATTCTATGGGCGGGGCCTCTGCCAGCTGGCAGATGTTTCCCGCGCGGCCGCACCATTCCTCTAGCGTAAACCTACGCGACGTGAAAGTAGTTCCGTTTTACCGCGTTAAATATTTCTAACAATAGCTCGGCGAGCGAGACGAGTACGTGCAGCCAGTGATCTGTCGTAAAAGTAACGGGCAGCGGACGCGCGATCGGCCAGGGAAAACCGCGGAAATTCGTCGTGAAACCGAGGATGAGGTGGTGCGGGATTGGTCCAAAGAGAGTCATTGTCCAGGGCAGAGTGCGATGTAGCGTTCACCCTAACCGTGTCCGCTGAAACTTTTGCGCGAGTGCCTTGAAAATGGTTTTCGAGCTTCCGACATCACGGATCCCCGTGCACGTTCGCGGTTGTGTGTAATCTGTAAATATAGGTAATACTGTGTTGTGCGCGTCGGGTACGAAACCGGGACGACGAACTTTATTCGATTATACTCGCGTTTCAGATCGTCTCGCCGCGTAAAGTGTGCGCGAGTGTACTTATTACATCCCGTTTACGAACCAGTCGTGAATGGTAAAGTTTAGCATGTGCCACGTGATGGTTTCGTTGACGTACACATGTAAGACGATCGTCCGCGTCAGACCACGTTTAGGAGACGATTCATTTGAAATGTAGTATCGTTTTACGAGATACCGGAATCATTGTTTGCACATATTTTAACAATAACTCTGCTATTTTTTCAGTGAGATTTAACGGTTTTCACCGAGTTCGTAAGAAAAAATCGATTGCTGTTACGTCATCCATCGCATGTACGCGGTATAAATAAATCGCGTTAAGAAGATCGGACGGTAAATCGAGAGTGGCGAGAAATTTGTAAGAATTGTGCCGAAAGAAAGAAGAGCCGCGCGAGCAGGAGTGAGGGGCGCTAGAGGGACCATAGACAGTGACAGTACTGAAGCCGGCGGCGGAGTGATTCGTGGTACGCTGTAGGGGCCCTCAGCTGTTTCCCGCCAAAGATCGCCATTACAAAACGCGTTCGGGCGTTGTGAGTGCGCCGCGCGGAGTGGCTGTCCCGTGGACGAATATCGGTACGCGCCACCGCGGTCTAAAAAAAAGTTTAATTAACAGTTTCGGGGAGTCCGCGTGAATTATTCGTAGATACGGGAAAAAAGGGTGCGCGTCGTTTAAATCCGTAGGAGTGTGAGCGAGAAGCCCCGCCGTCTTGTTCGCTGCCGCGACGACGACGGCTGCTGGGGACGTGAATTAAGCGCGGCGGGATTTCTCAGTGCTGCGGATCACCGAGATATGTCAGTGTTTGGTGGTGACGATCCTATTCTGCTCGAGGAAATTGTTGAAACCACCGAGGAACAGGAGGCTACTTTGTGCGGGTGAGTACTTTCTTCGATTAAATTCATTTACCGGCGGATGTGAACGCTTTTCGGCGAGCGACCGGAACGTGTAAATACGTATGTGCACGCGTGACCATGTGTCTGATCGAAGAGGTCGTGCGAGTTATGTACGTACACGTTCGCGACGTACATACGTATATATGTATACATGGTTTACGTGGTACGTCAGCGTCATTATAACGTGTGGAAACGGGCATGGTTTGACACGCCACGTCATTTCGAACTTTAAATACACAAGTGTAACGCCTTTCTCGCGAGTTCACCGCGACGCGAATGACACAAATTCATCGGCAAACGAAGGCGTGCCTCGTCCGTCTACCTTATCGAGTAGTGTGATTACCGCGAGCGGAATAACGTTTCATTGCCTTTTCTTTCCTCTGCACCGTCCCATCGCCGTTAATGTCGTTGTCCACGTCGACGTCGCGATTGTATCGGCAAAACCTCGGTACATACATTTATAACACGCGACGTAAAATTCTGTGCGCAATACAAACGAAATAGTTCTATGTATGCAGTGTCCCGACGATAGCCAACCGCGGAGAAGCCGGCCGGCCGGCCGGCCGGCACGTTAGCCAGCCGTCGTCTTTCGTGCGACGCATTTTACGAATTTTTTATTTTTGTTGGAATTCTTTCGTCCGATTGAAATAGAATTTTTTTTTCCTCGTTCCCTGTTTTATCGGGTATCGTATCGGTGTTTCGCGTGGGCGAGCGATCGCAAAATTTGCACGCGAATGCGTCGAATTCCTTGCACCTTCCACACGTTCACGCCCAAATAAGCATGGCGCGAGAGCCACGCTCGATTCCGGACAAGCGAATATTAATAATATGATATAATATTTGAACTTGGACAATGCCAGGTTAACATGATTTTCCATACGTTTTTCCCTCCGATTATTCGTGATATGAATGTATATGAAACGGGTGACGGATCGATATCGCTTGGAATCATGATTGATTCTATTCACATTGTTCGTTGCATAATTTGTGTTTACGCCCTTTCAGCGAGTTGAGAAAATCACAGTGATTTTCTGTGAGATGTCTGATATTAAATAGTCACCCAGGTGAATTCCCGAGTTAATCGTTTCTCGGAATGTTATCGCAAGTTGTCTAAACTGGTTTGGAATGCACGTATGGCCTGTATCGAGACCTCTCGTAAACAGAGCTCTGTATCCCGGTCACAATGCGAATCGAAATCCTTTACTTCATACTACCGCATAAAGCTTGTATGTAAACGTAATTTCTTTCATACTCGCGAGTACATAATTTTCTTCCTTTCTTTATTTACGTTTCTAAAAAGAATGAATACGGCGTTTCTCAAAATAGTGCCATTGTTTACATCGCTATGGCATGGTGTAACAGCGTGGTTTTCAGTTTCTTTCCACGGCCTACGTACAGTGTACGCGCGCGAACCCGAGCGTCTGGCTCGGGACAAAAAAGAATTGAAAGAAGGAAAAACAAAAGGACGAGGAAAGCAAGTTCCTTCCTTTGTGTACGGCCGAGTGACCGACAGACCAGGCCGGCCGGGGTATAGTATGTGCGTTACGTAAAGCCACGTTTGTTGCACAATAATGGGTCTCTATAAATAACTCGAAGCACGCCGCTTCGGCGCAACTTCTTGTTTACATACGCTCATCACCGCGCCGCAATACGTTCACTTGCGCGAAGTGGCTTCGATCTATCGCGTCTAGGTACCCCCATCCGTACGTGCACATATACATTTATGCACACGTACCGAGTCCGTCCCGATTGGACACGGTCTACTTCCGTGCAGACGTGAAATTCGCGACTACTATCGATAACGTTACGCTAGGTCTCGGTAATTCCTTCGGTCGGGTCGGTCAGGATTTGGTTTGCGTTGGCTCAGCGCGCACACACACACGTGCGCGCACATATGTGCGATAATACGCGAAACTGCCGCGTCCACGTGTGCACACATGGCTACATGTATATGGTGTAAAAGGAGCACCGCACAGTGCCGTACGCCATAATTGATGTAGAGCTTGAATGAAACGAGAGAGAGCGGGAGAAACACGGAAATACGTAATACGCAAACGATTTTACACGCTATAAAGCTCTCGTTCGAGGTATCAAGCGTAAATGATTGCATTAATGCACGCGGAATACCTTTCGTTCACGTTTGCGTTACATTTTTCGCGCGGATTCTTGACGAACAGTATCGTTTTCGTTCGTCTGTATATCAAAGGCTTAGTAGATCTCATATCCAGTACCTCGTTGTACCGATCTGGTACATGCATATTTCGATGCACAGTTCTAATTACTTGAACTATGATACTCATGACTTCTGTAATTATCCCAGTAAATGGAGCACGTGTTTGTGTTAAGTAGTGTGATGTATTGAACGACTTGATTTTCCACTTTTAACTTTATTTCGCAGTAGCGGCTAATATTTTATTATTCATGAATAAACTGCTTAGGCGTTTAAATGATTAACCGGGCGCAGATTTAAATGAAAATACGGCTGACCTTTTCACACCTCTCTTTTTTATAAACTCTCGTTTCGCGCACACTGTTCGTAAATAAAATGTGAGAGAAACAAAACGCGAAGTTAAAATTGAAATGTATTCAAATGAGTTACGATATGGGGCATTCCATGTACTCATGAACGAGGAAAGTAATGCTTACATATCGTTGTTGCATATGTCGTTTTCAAAAGCGGCTTAAAGTGCGTCCTCTTCTATTTTTATCATCCGCCTATTTTTCTCTTTTTTTTTTACTCGGAGTGGAAAGAATTAGTCACTCGTAACAAGAAAGAACATCTGATACGTGTTTATCCTCTCATCACGCGACCCGTTGTATCAGCTGATTACACGTTCCGCTGTTACGTAATCCGGGGGCGATTGATACCTCACCAATCGTGATAAATTTTCTTTCGCAATTTATCGTCGCTTCACACGGACGAAACATTCCCGCGCGTGTGATACGTCATTTTTCGCCGCTGAGTCAGGAATTTATAATTTATATTGAGTGATTCGCGAATATTAGGTGAATACTTCAGGTGAATTTTTATATTATACTCTGCTTTAAACAGTGCATAGAAACTGAAGATTTGAAATACGAGAATGGATACTTTCATTTGCTTGAATTAATAAGAAACTAATCCTCATTTATGACAGTACTTTGATCGAATATCGTTCTCCTTCTTTTATTTCAATAACGAGTTCACGAATTTGGAGATTACACGGGCGTGTGTAGATTACCAGAATCGATCACTCTTTCTCTTCGACTCGCAGCGACTGTGTAATCGTTCGCCACGCGCGTAAACCTGTAGTGTTTATCGCTGCGTGTATTTTCACACGGAATTACCCCGAAATCGCATTACGTTTTCACCTAAGCCTTTCAAACTTCTACTCTTATTCCCTTGTACGCCACGGTGGTATCGATCTCGTTTTTCGTTCCGCCTGCAACTCCGAAGAAAATAATAGCATCAAACTTAACGAGGTTTCTCGTAAAAAGCCTTGGTACAGCGAACGAATATCAGCGCGTATCGGGTATTAGTTAATAAAAAAGTTGGCCAGCCATCCACCCACTGCCTAGTTTTTTCCTGCTACGCGTTGCACACATAGTGCCCCCGCGCACACAGAGATAAAATTACTGTCGCTCGATGCACTATCGATTTTCTTTCGGTATTTACGTCAGCTACTTCTTCGGCCACGTGTGTGTCCGTGTGTGTCCGTGTGTGCGTGACACGCCGCGCGTCGCGTTTACACACCGCATAGTTATTATCACCACATCGTTTATCAAGCGTTGGAGAATAAAACTCGCTCGGCTGATGGTACTTTTTCGCTCGCTCGTTTGCACGACTTAATAAATCGGTCGAGCCAATCCTGACCACGGTCAACGTGGTTGCACCACGTCGTACGTAGTTGCCTCGTTATGTACACATATATGCACGCGTAACTGTTGTACGTATATAGACACGAGCGTGTATGTATAACGTTACGTGCAGCCAGTCGGAGAGACGGAGACACACGTGCGCGAGAGATACAAGACTTGAATTGCGTACTGCAGTTACACCGGGTTAATCTGTGCACAAGTACAATCGCACTTAACGCGGCTTACTATTTTTTTTTTAGTTTTATTACATTTCGATGTTTCGCGTGAGATGTATCACATTTTTTTTCTTCCTTTGTTCAGTTTCGTATCACTCGCTACGGATGTTAGTCATGCTTATCGAAGAGCTTCGCGATATTTTTGACACGCTGCACGGTGGCTGGCGTGCATGAGATTTCGGGACAAAAATTATTACTTCTGAAGTAATCCATTTTCGGTCTGAATATCTGAATAATTTTTGAAAGAGCATAAAATAATGGATTGATTTCCGAAAATAAATTATAATGTATATAGATATATATATAAAAATTAATGATAATCTCTTATAAATTTTCCTTATCGTATCCTCAGAAAGTTTGTGTATAAGGTATACTAAACTTACAGAGGAAGTCCAACCCTATGAGGACATGCCTTAGAGAATGAATCTTACAGGCAGGAGGATCTCTCAAACATGAGACATAGGACCGTTTAGTTCAGTTCGAGTCTGGCAACTTAAGAGAGAGCACTGAGAAAAATTTAAAATCAACTTATTGCGTTCTTTATTGCACTTCTTCTCTTAAAACCAGCAATGTTTATCCAGGAACCCTTCGTTGACTTTAGGTACCAATGCAAAAGTTGATTTTTTATTTTTGCCCCAACGCACTGTGCGTTGCACGGATGTTTGATAAGTAACAAAATCGTACGATAACCGTCGCGATTATCATATAATTATAGAATTGGGTAAAACGAGATAACGAATTTAATTGGATCGGCGTTCCAGCAAAATTGTGACGGGGTTAAATTTAATTTAACGAAGTAGCTCGCGCATTGTATCCGTTCTTGCCGTTATTTCGTGGCGAATGACATTTATTATTCAATGATAGTAGAATTGAGAATCTGTTAGATTAGTTTTACTCTAGGTCGTGAGACCTTTCGTGAATCCATTTTACTCATCTGGGGTACTATCGATTGGGGAATAACGAATTAAAATGAAATCTAATAATAGTTCTGGTAGTAAGAGAGTAAACGTAGTAGTAAAGTACGAGTCTATTCAGAATTAAATTATTTTTTTAGACGCTTCGTTTGTGCAAAGTTTTATAATATAATTGCAAGCGCGATTGATATTATTTTAATTATGAAAATGTTGATGATTTCCATATCTATACTACACATCCACATACAAAATAATAACAGAATCTACCTTTCTGAAAATCATTCAACGTTATACAATGACTTCTTGCTAATTCTTTGCTACTTATAGTAATAATGACGAAAATCGAGGTGGTAATATCTGATGAACCATCCTGTATAGTTTCACAGACCGTCGTTTCTCCGGTTTGAACGCAAAAGAATTGGAATTAGAATTAGTTTAGAGTGACGCGTCGCGGTGTCACGTCATTGCACTGCAAAATCTCAGCACTTTGCTGGCCTCGTCTAGGAATGGACTTAACACTTACTGGAACTGTGTGCATTTTCAAATCTCGTTACGCGTCCGTACTTGTGGCCAAGGGTTAAGTCTGTTGGATACTTTTGCATCCCCTTGCTGCTTACTGATCGATCATTGCAATTAGCGGCGGACATAGCTTGTCATATAGAATAGTTATCAAATTAGAGCATCAAACGACATGAATTTTTTCTCATATTTTTAGTGTAGATAAAATCAGTTGCGTAATTAATTATACACAATCTAACGTCGCTTCTTTTCTAATTTCGTTAGGCATTTAGTGGATGTTCTGTAGTAAACTTGATCTTGTAGAAAGTATATATCATACCTTCAGTAAAAACGTTTTGAGCTATAGATTGAAATTGAAGGGAAAATATGACGATAGCATTTCTCTTAAACCTCAATATTTTTTTTATTATACCCCGAGTAGACATCTAAAGTGGGAAAATAGCCTTTACAGTCTTGAAACGCCTTCCAGTTCTGAATCTTGCCAGCAGACAACAATGGTTTCTCTGTTGACCTCTTACGCTCCACATACCCACTATGCACCGTAAACTCATGTTACATACCGCACGTATGTATGTGCGCTCCGGTATTACTCATGGATAAAGTCGAAGGGACCAACCTCAGACGGGAATAATGTCTCCTTCTGACGATCTTTCGCCTCGTCTTAAATGCGTTGCTACTGGTACACAAGGACGTGCTCCCTCAATTCCGTCTAAATTATCTGATCTTATTTACTAATCGATGATCTGCAAGAGATGTTCAAGTTTCTATAATGAAACATGTTTAGGAAAATTCAGTTTAGATGAGTTGTATAATTTTGAGAGCAACGTAGCATTATGAAAAGGACGGAAAAAATATTGCTGTTCCCATTTCTGGCGAGAATCGACTATAAACCTTTTCTGTATCTCATTGATCGTTGATCCTTGACAAAAGAGCACTTGGTCCGAAGGATCGCAGCTACCTGGGTTTTTGGGTGAAGGTGACAGAATGGTCGAACACCCAGTTGTCTCCTTTGTTCCCTGACGTTGGGCCCTGACGGTGTTCCAGCATTCGGGAAACGAGCTCCGAGATGGCCATGCGAAAAGCGGTCTTTTCATCGCTGTTAAACCTTTTTAGCGAGATCCTTACTTGGCTTCCCTCGCGTTCCAACATTTTTCTGAAAGATTCTTTGTGTGTCTTTCCCATGACTTTCCCCGCGAGTATTTCCGTCGGTGACGCTGTAGGATTTATGACCAGTGACTGAAAATTATTCGTGAAATGATCAACAATTGAATTTTCTGATATCAAAAAGAATTTTATTTTTAACTCCTTGGCCCGAAATTTATTTTCAAGCAGCACTGCTCAGGCAGATGATTTAATTTTTAAGGATGTATTGGCTATACAGTCAATCCCAAAAGTTTATGTACCTTAGAAAAACGCATTTCTTATAATTAAAAATAGTGCATTCTTCTTCTAATTTCGATATT